CCAGGCCAGGCCCTTGTGTGAAATGACCCTTTTGTTATTGTGTGTAACTATCCAACCTTGCAAGGGACAGAACGGTGACTGTCCCTGACACTACTGACTGTCCCCAGGGCACAACAGCAGTACCAGAACCTCTGCTGGCTCCCTGTCTTTCTGGACAAGAGGGTAAAGAAGAGCAAGTGGACGATGAACCCGTGGCTGTTGTTGGAGCTGCAGAGCCTGAAGAAATTAAATCAGTAAGTGCCAGACTACATTAGCATTGTCTTTGGTGTAACTTAGAACTTGTGATCAGAGCGAGCTTGCTTTTCCTGGCTGAAGAGTGTGAGGGCTGGAGTCCTTCCATGACACTGTGCTTCTACCCAGCCACTGACACCTGGGAAAGGGGATTTTGACCCTTCCTGTTCAGTCTTTAGATTGCTGTGCAGGATTCCTAGGAGACAGGAGAAACTGTCCCCTGGATGTACCTGCCCCTCCACAGGGCCTATTTCAGAAAAATCCATGAACAAGAAATTGGCCAGGCCCTTGTGTGAAATGACCCTTTTGTTATTGCGTGTTAACTATCCAACCTTGCAAGGGACAGAATGGTGACTGTCCCTGAATCTTCTGACTCTCCCCAGGGCACAAACGTGACACCAGAACCTCTGCTGGCTCCCTCTCTTTCCGGACAAGAGGGTAAAGAAGAGCAAGTGGACAATGAACCCGTGGCTGTTGTTGGAGCCACAGAGCCTGAAGAAATTAAATCAGTAAGTGCCAGAGTACATTAGCATTGCCTTTGGTGTAATTTAGAACTTGTGATGAGAGCAAGCTTGCTTTTCATGGCTGAAGACTGTGCGAGGGCTGGAGTCCTTCCATGACACTGTGCTTCTACCCAGCCACTGACACCTGGAAAAGGGATTTTGACCCTTCCTGTTTAGTCTTTAGATTGCTGTGCAGGATTCCTCGGAGACAGGAGAAACTGTCCCTTGGATGTACCTGCCCCTCCACAGGGCCTATTTCAGAAATCCATCAACAATGAACAAGAAAGTGGCCTTGTGTCAAATGACCCTTTTGTTATTGTGTGTAACTATCCAACCTTGCAAGGGACAGAACGGTGACTGTCCCTGACCCTACTGACTTTCCCCAGGGCACAACAGCAGCACCAGAACCTCTGCTGGCTCCCTGTCTTTCTGGACAAGAGGGTAAAGAAGAGCAAGTGGACGATGAACCCGTGGCTGTTGTTGGAGCTGCAGAGCCTGAAGAAATTAAATCAGTAAGTGCCAGACTACATTAGCATTGTCTTTGGTGTAATTTAGAACTTGTGATGAGAGCAAGCTTGCTTTTCATGGCTGAAGAGTGTGAGGGCTGGAGTCCTTCCATCACATGGTGCTTCAGCCCAGCCACTGACACCTGGAAAAGGGGTTTTGAACTTCCAAGTTGAGCCAGTGTCCCTGGCAGGACACATAGCAATAACTGTGCCCTGGGGTTACCTGCCCGTCTGAATAGCCTAATTGAGAAAATCTAAGCAAACTGAACAAGAAAGTGGCCTTTTGTGAAATGACCCTTTTGTTACTGTGTGTAACTATCCAACCTTG